GAGTTGTATTTCTTCCTTTTTTTTCTTTCACTTTTAGAAACCTTTGACATATAAGACACACAGGATGCACTTATCTGAGATAAGGACCATCATCCATATCCTGCAGTACAGGTCCTCACTGGTGTTGGATGCCTACTTGAGCATTTCAGGTTCCTTAGTTTATCCTCTCATCTCCATACTTGTTAAGGCTTCCTCCTTGGATCTGCAGAATTAATGTATTAAATGATCAGAGAGAGGAAAGATTGGAAAAAATTTCTATTAACATCTAGTGCTAATACACTCTGAAATTAATAACATTTCTCAAAAATTTCCAGAAAAGCTGAATGCCATTCCTAGGCTGCAGCTTTTCAGTTTCCATGTTCCTCCCTCTACCAGGTACTGGCTACAAAAGCAATTGTTATTTTCTTCCATCACTCACAAACACAACCCTCTCCTGCCCTGTTGTATCTAAAGAATGGCATTCAGCTGATAACTGTTAGATAGTTGGCATAAAAATCTGGAAAACTATGCAAAGATGGGGTTTAATTAGATGGCAATTTATTTACTCAGGGAAAAAAAAACAAATAACAAAAAACCAACCCTTTGGATTTTTCATCAGATACATCCTGTGAACATCAAACACGAGTGCCATTGCCAAATGCTCTTTTAGGCCTGCCAACGCCGTGTGTCTTTCCCTTTCCTGCTTTGTCTTCCACAAATTGCCATATCCAGGAATGCAGCACTGTGCTTATTAAAGGCTGAAATTATCCACTGGGTGGTTAAAAAAATGCTAATTCCAGCCACTGAGTGAGATAACTGGTAATTCTGTAAAGTACATTTAGGCAAATAAGATTTTTTGGCAGCCGAATGTTGATGTAGCAGAATGTGCTTTTCTGATTGACATATGCTAACAATAATGCCTCCACAGTCGGGAGGGAGGATAATTTACTTTTCATTTCCATTGGAAATGAGGTGAACCAGAATGTGGTAGATTGTTAAATCCCAGCTATGTGGTTTAATTGATTTGCTCGAATCCATGAATCAAAGGATACTCTGCATCCTCACTCCTCACCATCATCACTTCCAGGAAAACAGCAAAGACAAATCTCCTCCTGAGCTACTTTTCAGCTCCTTTTGGGGTTTCTCAACCATTTCCCCAGGCATGTCCTCAAGAGGTGGCTGGACCAGAGGAGAGTCTCTGCAATGAGAAATCCTTCCCAGCAGAAAACAGAAAGGTTGGTAGCCGTCTCATAGCATTTCCCAGCCAACAAGCAGGTGTGTTATGGGGAAACGAAGTATGAGAGAAGCTTAGTCAGCCCAGGTGAGGTTTTACCAGCTCATCATCATCCACATTTCTTCTCTCTGTTTCAATTGTCCTTCTCACATCCTTAAAGAGAAAGGGGGGAAAATTGCTCTGAGCATCCCAGCTCACTGCTGGAAAGGTGATGTGTCTCCAGAGACGTGGCACTGACAGGGACCAAGAATTTTGCTCTGCTGTCACCTCATTTATCAGGCAATGAGGGAACATCTCTAGTCTCTGTCACAAAAAGTCTGTCATAAGCCAGAGCTAAAATTGTCCCTAAATCTCAGCTGCCCCCCACATCCATTCTGGGGGTCTTGTTCCTGCTGGCAGGGGATCTCAGTGCACCACGCTGTGCTGCTGCTGTGACCAGCATCTCACACTTCATTTCCTTTGTGTGATTTTATTTATTTAGAAAAAAAGGATGGTTTGTGGGAAAACACAAGATGCAAGTTCGAAAATCTTTTACAATCTCAATAAAGGAATGTTTTCTCATCAAAACTCTTTCCATTAAAATATTATGAATAGTTCTGGTTCTTGGCTTTTTTGATTATAAATACTTCTAGTGGAGGTGTTTGACTTGCTGCTCTATCTCCAGAAAGAGCTTTTAGCCTAATTGTTTACTTTCAACCACTTGAAGACCTCATAAAGGATCTACAAGCACTCATTAACTGTTCTGTAGTCCTCCACAGCCATGTGCTGACGGACCATGGGAACAGTCAGTTGCTGGTGGCTCAGGTGACTGAGCTTTGTTGGGAGCGAAGGTGACCTGTAAATGCCTGGAACATGTAATATTTCCCTTCCTCCCCTTCAGATACATATAAGACAAAAGTCTGGGCTTGTAGGAGGGACTGCAAAAAACATCTTCTTCCAAAGTGGCCTCTGAGTCTGTCTTTCTCCAGAAGTCACCTTAGAGCACAAGGGAATAAACCTTCGCAAAAATTCTGATTTACAGGACTCATGGGGAGTCCCTGCATGAAGTTATACGCTCATCTCCTCCATCACTGTTGTGAGTGAGCTGATATCTGCTCTTAGTGGTAACCCAGGGAAACCACAGCAGCCAAATAATTTGAGGGACGACACGGCAAAAGCAAATCACATCAGCATGAAGCTCAGCAGAGCCAGGGAAGCAGTTTTCCATAGAAAAGATTTAGGAAGAGCCACAAACCCAAGCACTGGATTCTGCTTTTGTGTCACTTGATTTTTCTGGTCCCTTCCCTCGTGTCTCTCCCATGCTCCTGTTTGGAAGGAAGAAGAAAACTCTGGATCCCAGACCAACACCTCTTGAAGTAGGTGAGAAACTTCCCACTGGCCTTGAAGAGATGTTGGAGGCATCTACCCCAGCACTGTGCAAAGTCACCTGAAAATGAAGTGTTACTACACTGACGTGCACAGTGCACTGGGTCTGGACTCACCCAACCCAACAAGCAGCTCACCAGAAAAAACACTGAATACAGAGGGTTTGCAGGAGGGCGATTGGCTTTTCTAGCCTTTGTGATCCTCGAGCATTTGTGTTTGCAAATAATTCTTTCCACAAATTAAAGCCTGCTACCTCTGGGGAATATATTGTTTGGGGTTTTTTTGTTTGGTTTTTATTTTTAAAGCGTATCAGAGTTTTCAAGGCACAGAAAAATTCTTTGTTGGATTTTTTTTTTTAAGTATATCAGAGTTTTCAAGACACGGGAAAAAAGCTTTTCATAAAAAGCATATGCAATTTTCACACTTTTACCATAACAATTCAGAAAAGGGAAAGTCAGTGCTATTCTAGACAATTTTCCAAGCTCTTTAAAGACTTCACAATACAATTATAGAATGAATCAAGGCTTTAAAGACAGCTCAGAAGAGCCTTTTTGAGTTCTGCATAATCATATTGGGCAAGACCAGTTTATAGCTGGGGTAGAGTTTTTGAATGAAAGCAAATAGACTCTGAAGCTCAGGTAACACAGTGAAGCATTTCCAGAGTTCAGCATTTCCTTTTGCTGACGTGCAAACATTGTTCAGCAGTAGGAAAGAAGGACATTCAGCAACGAAAGTCGTAGAAATAGGAGTGAGGAACTACAGGGTTCATTTCTTAGTCTGATCTGGTAAATCCAAGCAAGTCATTTCATCCCTGTGTGCACCAACGCATCCCAGCTGCATCATGAAGGTTAAATAAATGAAGAAGGTTCTTTACAAGCATGAATTACTCTCTCAGTGAAACCCTGTCATTTTGTACCAGCTGAGAACTTGGTCCCTACTACTTAATGATCTTTCTTTGACTCTTGAGGCGACTCCAAAAGCTAACTCTTCTTTATATGCAGGCGGCTGTGAAATGTGGTGTCTGTTAGAAGCTCAGAAAACTGCTAAAGATTTGTAAAACAATATTTATATATATAAGGTGTATTTATAGATTTATATAACAATATATATAACTATTTATTGATATAACAATATTTATCTGTATTTAACAAAAAAGGCCATTAACAGCTTGCAATGATGTGGTATATCTAGGAATTTCCACAGTCCAGAGAGGAGCTCTATTATTATTACCAGCATAAACGGGAGATTTTGTTCTCACCATGTGGGTTGTGAGAGACAAAACCCAGCTGGTACTTTTGTGAAACGAGTTGAGCTCCAGAGCACAAAGCTGTACAGAGACTTGATCCATCTAAAGAAAACTTTGGCAACAACACCACTGCCTGTCTTCAGGAAAAGGAGTTGCATCTTTCTCAAATTTATTAACAAAGAAACTTAAGTGCTTCTGATTGCCAGAGCACCTGCTTCTCATACGTTTATGTGCTTCTTATTCCTTTCTGTTATGGATCCTCTGTAGCATCCTGGGGGTGTGGTTGAATTCTTTCTCCATCTTTCCCTGTCCCACCACAGCAGCTCCCTGTCCCACCATGGCAGCTCTCCATCCCACCACAGCAGCTCCCCATCCAACCAGGGCAGCTCCCCATCCCACCACGGCAGCCTTGCTGCAAACACATGAGCAAATCCTACATGTTCCATTTCTTAAGCTCAGCTCCAGTGGGATTTCTAGGCAATGCATAAGGCCCTCACGAAACCTTCCTGCTTTTATTTGACACAAACAGTGACTTCCACTTGATTCAATCATTGCTTAATTTGATCCTCCATTTAATTTTATCAAAACTGTAGTAATCAAATAATTCGTACTAAAAACGTTACAACTTCCACTTGTTTATTCTGATCAGTTTTAATCTTTTAAGGCACAAGGTTTATTGGATAATTTGATTATGAGATAACAAAATGCTGTCATTTAATCTACAAGGAAAGGACAGAACACACAAAAAAAAGAAAGTTTAAAGATCCCAAAGAGTGCTCATAATAAAGAAAGAATACAAGAACATATTGTTATTTAGAATTCATGCTACTCACAGTGAAAGTTAAGAAGCATCCTGCTGTTCCCAAAATGAAAAGATCAATGGCATGTTTCAGTTGAGACATTTCTGGCAATGAACTGCGCTGAAAAGGGGAAGGCAATGTAGCTGAATGTGAATGAATTTGCCTTTTCTGAGTGTTGACCATGTGAATGAAAGTATCTCAGTGGTGGTTGAGTTTTCCCTCTGTCCAATTCACCTTCAAAAGACAAAGGCAGCAGAGTAAGAGGAAAGAGGTTTCCACTGCAGACTGTTTCTCTATTGCTGTGAGAAATAAAACACAATCTCCTGCTCCCCTGATCCTTCCCATCCTTTGACCTTGCCACATCTCTCCCCAACAGGTCAACACTTTCATCTCCTTCGTGTTCCCCATGGTCGTCATTTCTGTGCTCAACACCATCATCGCCAACCAGCTCATGGTCATGTTCAAGCAGGCTGCCCAGGAAAACCAGGTCTGCACCATCGGTGGGCAGCAGACGATGCTCAGCATGTCCATGGAGCCCAGCCGCGTGCAAGCCTTGAAGCACGGCGTGAGGGTCCTCCGTAAGTATTCACATATTTTGGCATAGAACTGGCTAGAGGTGCCTAAGTAAAAATGATTTGAAGAGTCATAGGTTGAAATTGGTAAAATCATTCACCTAAAACATTTTAAAATGAAATTTAGCTCTTTTTGGAAATCCAAATTGCCCCCAAATGCTTTGGCATTTGCCAAAATTGTCCAAGTCTTGTCTCAAATCCCCAGACTCTGGGAAATAACTTTATTCTCTTGGTTTCTTTCCTTCTTTATTTCTTTCTTGCTGAGTTGCCAAGAGTTTTCTAGGCAATTTTACCATCTATTTTCCACTATTTACTTTTTCTCCCAGAGTCACTTTTCTGAGTCTTAATCTCCCCTTAAAGAATTTAAAAAAAAAAGAAATCATCTAGACAAAGGAAGCTAAAGAGATATTTGAGTATTATTTAATAAATTGGGCTCAATGGGGGAGAAGCTGATAAATGAAAATTTCAAATTTAAGGAAGAAAATATATTTCATGTTCTGTAAAATAGAAACAACTTGATAACACCAAGTTTTCCTGTTTCTTTTTTCTGTTTCTGGCCAGCTCCAGCCTGACCACCTCTCTGTGGCTGGTGCTGGTTTTAAGCAAATTAAATTCCTTGTAATTATCTCATTGGGCTGCATTATTTACTGTCTCCGCACCCTGGTCAGCCATCATCCACAGAGGGATAAGAAGTGAGCCTTGCTTGGGCACCGAGCCTGCCAGGATGGGACCATGCACATCCCTTGGTTCCCTGCTATCTTCTTCTGTTTCTTCACACTTCTGCCTACTGCCAGTAGATGAGAAGCTGCCTTTTCTCACCTGCACTACAACATCTCACGCCTCTCTCTCTCCTCTTAGTGTTGCATACTCTTTTAACATCAAGAGGAGAAAGGTCTTCATGAATAATAACAGAGAGACCTAAATTTACACCTGACATTCCCTGGGAATTGCTCAGTGGCGGTAGAAGGACACCCCTCACCAACAGGTCCACGTTTCCTCCAAGGCACCAAAAAACAGCCCTTCTTTCTCTGAACAATAAGCTTAATTTTCTTCTTCTTCTTCTCCAGGCAGGTTTTTTTTTGCTTTTGTTATGTACTTCAAAAGCTGAGAAAAGTTATTAAAAGTGAGGGTCTCCATCTGGAGCCTGAAATGGTGTAAAAGTGGGACAGACGTGGCCCCATGGGCAGCGATGCAGAAATATCACACGCATCTCCTCAATGCCACCCCAGCAGCAGGACTGAGCTCCCTTCCCTGCTGGGAAGGCAACAAGAGAGCAGCCACTTGCTCCTTTTCTGGACTGGGAAAGATCCAGCAAATAAGAAATCCACCATCAGTTTTGTCTGTGATTCACCACATCATGCAGAAAAGCTTTCTTTAAAAATCAAATGTGAGTGGAATCCTGCTTCATTTCATTTTTCCAATGCCCTTAATTACTGGAAGCGTTTAATTCACATTTACTTTTGTCACCTGTTCCTTGCAACTTTGTCTTTTTTTTTTTTCTTTTTTTTTTTTTAATAAACCAGGCCTCTGAGCTGTCTGAAAAGTAGCAAAAAATAAACAAGGACGCACATGATTTATCCTGGGATCCATGGCAGCCAAAACCATGTACACAGTCTGGGCTAGTTTATGGAAGAGGATGGGAAAAGAAAAATGACACTTGTCCACACTAATAAAACTGTTGGCACAAAGTCAAAGCTTCAAGGAGGTCAAAGTATTTTCCATTTCCAAAAGTGAACTTTGGCCTAAAGTACAGAGAGCTTGGTTTTGTTTTAAGGGTGAAATGTTTCAGAACTTGTAAAACTAGTGCTCAGAAAAATAAATTTTTGCAGTTCATGGCGTCCACAGCTGTTGGATGAGATCAGAGCAGCAAACACCTTCCTTCCTTCCTCCACATCTACTGAAATTATGTATTTATTTACACTGAAACAGGAGCTAAAAGTGGTCAGGATTCAAAACGTCTACAACATCATTTTCCTCCTCTTTCTTAGCATTTATGTTTTGGGTTTTTTTTTTTGGCTCTGTCTGACTTTGGTCATGTACAAAATAATTAGAGAGATCAGGATCAAGGAACGTGTCAGCCCTGCTGCCTGGGAGCCAGCTCGTTAATTCATTAAGCATGTGATTTCTGATTGTAATTCCCTCTCTGCTGTCAGTGTTCACCAGGTGTGAGGATCTAAATTCAGAGAGCTCAAGGTGCTGGCAGCTTCCCAACTCTTTTGTGAGGATAAAAGAGCAACGTCTGCACCAGTGCTGCTGGTAAAAATGCCTCCCACCAAAAGATTTCATACCCTCCTTCATCCATCCATCCATCTATCCAATATTCCTTCCATTTCTCCAATTATAAACCATTTTTTTGTTTTTATTCCTTGGCTGTGTTGTGGTGCTGGAAGTGTCTTGGGCACGGTATAGTGCTTCACGGGAGGTGAAGCTTCTCTGATTGCACAGCCTGATATGCCATCAAGGTAGGAAACTTTCTAAATAAATCTTATTTATGGTGGTGGAGGCCCCATCCCTGGAGGTATTTAGGAGTTGTCTAGACATAGTACTTAGGGATATGGTTTAGGGGACTTGTCAGTGTGAGGTTAATGATTGGACTTGATGATCTTATAGGTCTTTTCTAATCTAGGTGATTCTGTAAACACACACGTGCACATGTGCACCCTTCAGAATAACCAGCCTTCAGCAGGTAAAACCTCACGTACACTGCCCAGACCATTGCATGCTCTATCCAGACAGGCAATATAAATCTTCCCCATCTCAATCTCCCATTTCCAAGCAACTGCTCAAAAATCAGGGTCTATTTGAACTTGGTTCAAGCTGAAAGCGCTGTTTGGACAATATGTCTTCTCAGAAGGGGTAATTTTTGTGACATGGACTAATTGTCCCCATCAGTACATCAGCCTGCAGCCCATCTTCCTCCTTCAACACCTCCCCACTTACCTGTCAAATCAGTTGCCACTGTGGATGGAAGGAAGGAGTTATTGGATGGCACAGCTGAGCTCTGATAACAATGTTGAGACAAATTGATGGACATCAAGGGGAGCTTTTGCACATCCCTGGGTAGATGTTGGCTAAACCTATTAAAATGTGATCAGTTCCAGGTAGCATGTGCTCCGTTACAGAAGCTGCTTAGTGAAAGTAGTTATAAAGCACTTGAGAGGTTTAACCAATTAGAAGAATATCCTTCAGTCTCCCACAGCTGGCTGGGTGATGCCTCTGTAAGATGCTTTTTAGGAGATGAAGTCACACCACATTTCTCTATCAAACATCTAAGAATTTTAAAATTATGATTTTGAGGTCTCTTCATTTCTTCAGGTAATACTAGACAAATCCTAAGTATTAATGAAGTATCCATGCAGCCTGCATTTCATTAATGTGTACATGAATAACAAATGTTTTGAAGAATTCATTCATTTCTCTTCACCGATGTTCCAAGTCAGAGCTATCTGTATGAGGACGAAAATATTGCTCTGAGATTTAGTGGAACCATCCTGCAAACAGGAATAACAAACAGCAAATACTTTGCAGCCACAGCACGCAGAAGAGCAGCAGTCTGAAAATCTGCTCCTTAAACCATTGTGTTTTGTAATTCCTATATTCTAAGGAAATCAGATTTGTCCATGAATATATATATATATTTTTTTTTTTTTTTTTTTTCAAAAAAGGAACTAAATTCATGACAGTTTGTATCCCAACTCTGAGTGGAGTTTAGCAAAACCCCTGTGACATTAAGCGTAAGTGGAAGCTGAGTTTAACAGCTGAAGTCTCACACTGACATTCGGGAGGATAAATTAGCTGTTGTAAATATTTCTCAGAGATGTTTGTACGTGGAGGTTTACTTTACAGCCTGCCAAGTGACATAGAGAGCGGTATCGGAGCGCTGTATAAACGCTCTCTGAGAGCAGAAAGGGACCGTGGCTGTTACTCCTGGAACAGGGAGACTCTTTTTTTCTCCTCCCCCAGGACAGATCCCTTCACTGGCACTACAGCTCAGGCTGGTGAGGAATTTCTGCTGGGGTTCAGGCTCTTGTGGCTGCATCTCAGAAGACAACCCTAGGGTTGCTCATGCCCAGCAAGTAGATTTTCCAGGTGTTAAATCCTGACCATACGAGTGTTTAAAAAACTAACTGATGTGTTTTTAAACATAAAGTCTGGCCAGGGCCTTAGTCACTGCAGAAGCATGTGGTAAATACAACCCTAAGGTCCCTCTGCAGCAGAAACCCTGGGGGGAATGGCACAAATGAAGTTTAAATGGAATCAAGTAGCTTCGTTCTTTACCCAAAAGTGAATTATCTTCGAAGGAAACTGGAGAAGACACCCCAACTTGCACTGTGTCATCAGGGATGTGCTGCTTGGACCCTGTTCTCGAGATAACTTTTAACCTTCATTTTCTGCCTTCCTCTTTATGGACAAAACCAGCGCCAGGGGATGATTTAATCACCAGCATGAGCAGGGGAAGGAATTTGCATCCATTTTCAAATCTGTCAGCTGAAGACATTGAAAATCAGAACTGGAGAATCGAGTCTGAGTAAAATATGTTGGTTTTGCATGCCAAAAAGGTTTTTTCTATTCACTCTGCTGTCTCACTGCCACTAACAGGGAAGTATTTAGGGGAGCATGGCTCCTTTCAAGCAAGATAGTGTCTTCTACCCCTTAATCCAAAAAAAGAGGCAATCCTCCTGTAACAGGAAAAAAAAAAGAAGGAAAATGTTACAGAAAGACAAAAAGCAGATCTCTGGCTGCTGGGAATGGAAATTAAAGAGTCAAATCTAATGTTTACACTGCTCAGTAACATGCACAAGAGCACAGGGGGATTGTATCCAGCAAATTCTGTGTGTTTTCAGTGGTGTCTAAATGAGCTGAGGATTCTTCAGGCCCATTACTATTCCCAGTTTCTCCTTCTTTGCTCTCCTGAGTACTGCTGGTACATACTGGTGGTCCTCAATCTCCACTGGTTGTTATTGACTTTTATGGAAATCTTTTCTTCTGCAGCCTTGTGACTCAAATACCAGCATAAGCAGTTTTAATTTTACTAGGCTCATACCCACCCTTGCAGCTGCCATAACCCCTAGTTTGGGGGCCTGCTGGTATAAATATTGCCTACGACCTGTCAGGTAGTGCATCATGTTAATATAAACAGTGCCTCGAGGTTTAACTAGGCAGTGCCAGCTCCATCTACACTTGGCCCAGCTTTTGCCATCTCTCATATCAAACAGCACAGTGACACTTGCTCCCCTTTGTGAGAGATTCTCTTGTAATGGCATCGACTAAATAAGTATATAAAACACAGGAGCTTTGAAAGCACAAAGACTGTTTCTCCAGAAATCAGCATTAATGCAAATCCTTGTCATGAGCCCATAACACTGTCTTATATGTTATTAGTACAAGCTAGAACATGCATTCCTTGGGAAGCATTGAAGATACATGGTTGCTGGTGAGCTGAAATGCAGGAAAGGCTGAGATGTTGTTTGGATGGGTCAGAACATACCCAAGCAGCTCCTGTCTTTGCTCAGAAATTACAATATGCTGTTCCCCAGCTGTAGGCATTTCAGCTCCCCTTGGAACACAGAGAAAAATAAATAAATTGGACAAAATCATCTGAACAAAACTATCAAGGAAAGATGGATGTGAGATTCTCTAGAGGCCTTAGCAACAGCAGAGGTGGTTGCAAGAGGGTGCAGCATCCCTTTTCTCTTTCCTGGAGACAAAGGAGGAGAGGACATAGAGATACCCTCACCAAGGGCCACCCTGGAGCTGTGCAGCTGTGACTGAGCATGATCCCAGAGAGGATGGAAGAGCTAAAGCCAGGAGGAAAACACTATCCAAATGTTTTTCACTGCAGCAGATCCCTGGCATCCTGCAGGAGCTGGCAGCAGCAGCACATTGCCCATCACCATCCCGATGCTCTGAGTCACATCAAGCCTCAAGTGGTCCCAGAAGAGGGATGGGGGGCTGAAAATCCCTCTCGAGCGTGAGTCCAACGTTCAGTCGAGCTGGTCACCAAGCACCCACCAGGGTCTTTTTTACACATGATATTGCTCCATGCTCATGCTAACCCCACGTGAGTTTTTTGAGACGTTGGCCCTGGAGAAGGGCTGTCTCCCAGCCTCAGCCACAGGATACACACAAGGTAAAATGAAATACTCACTGCAATCTAATATAATTTAACTTCCAGGATTGCTTCCACATCCAGTTTAGTCTGAAAATCAAGACTGGCACAGTTTAAATCTTCTTTTACACAATGAAAAAGATGTCACTCAAAATTTATGTTTCCTTCTGCAGGACTTCCTGCGTGATAAACAAACAAGGACTCATCCTCCGTCACTCCTCCTTCCCCTCTCTCCTCCTTCCTTGGGATGTGGTTCAAACAGGCAGAGAATACAGCCATTATAAGACAAAATAGAAAGCCACAGGATGCAGTAATTCAGGTTTAAATACAGTTTTAAATTGGGAGTTTGATTTAGAAGGGAAATGAAGACACAGCTCGGTGGGAGGATCATTCCCCAGCACACCAGGGTCTGCTCGGTCATGTCCCTTCTCTGCTCCCCAGCCCTGGGCTCACACGTTTGGCACCTTGTTTGCTCAAATGTGGGAAATATCAGAATTTCATGGAGCAGCCCTGCTTATATAAAAACCACACTGAATTAATTAGAAGTGATAGGTGGATCTGGTTTATTTTTAGTTCAAAAAATAGAGGAAAGAGATCTTCAGCCTCACTAAAACCATTCTGAACAGTCACCCCCATCACACATTGGGTTGAATCCTTCCCCTGCAGTGCCCCATCTTACCCCACCAAATAAACTCCTGTGTCAAGCCTTAGATGATGAACATGTCCTGGGAGCTGATAATAATAAAAAATCACTTTGGCAGCCACTTTGCCCATCATTTCTTTTACAGCTCATCTGTTTTGATAAGCATGTGCCCAGGAAGGCACAAGACAGCAGCAAAAGGCACCAGGTATCCAGGAGAAAAGGACACTTTAATTCTGTATTAAATTAAAATTAACACATTCCCACATTTCATATTCATCCCTGGGGAGGGGACCCAATAGGGCAGGATTGCCACCCTAAATCTGCTTGATCCCCTTGGATGATAAAATTGTGCTGGTGGCACAGAACTGCACGGCGTGCTACCCAGCTGGGATTTCCAAATCAGACCATAAGTGTCTCGAAAGCACTTAACTATGTATTTAATAGAGTTTTAATTGCAGAGTGATTGCGTGTGATATTACAGAATTACCACAGATTACTTAATTGATGATTCGTTTGCTGAGGTTAAGCAGATATTTCTCTCAATATATGTTTTTGCTGCTATAGGTCCCTGCCTCCATATTATTTGGCCCAGCACTGACTGAACAACAGGAGCAGAAATTCTTTACCAGGAGAAAACCACTTTCATTTAACATGTTGGTAAATTTAACAGGCAGATGTGCAAGAAAATTGGCTGTCGAAAGAATCCAGATCCTGTCGTTCTTAAAGAGCTGCATGCAGGGGTGAGCAGTTGGGAAGTGCCAGTACATGGAGGTTTCTGCAAAAATAATGATGTGCACAAATGAACTTGTGTTGGGAGCTGCTTTCAAAGCCTGAGATTCCAGCTAATCCTGGACAGGCACTGGGAAAGCAGATGGACTGGAGCTGTGATGTTGGCTCGAGGCTGATGGATGGAGGGGGAGAAGCTGGAGTATCACTTCTCCTGTGGCCCCTGGGAGGGATCTCCTAGGGAGTTGTGGGTGGACTGCTCCATGCAGGGCAAACCAAAGGTCCATTGACAGAGGAAGTAATTTCTGGAGGTGGCCAAAAACAGGTGCCTAGAAATGTGAAAGAGCAAGGCAGGCATCTAGAGCTTTCCCCAAGCTTCCTGGTGGACCTCTCCACTTCTCCTGTGCCATATGTCATTTCTGGACTGTCCCCATTAAAGGCCTCAGGGTAGGACCAGATACAGGTCAAGTTCATTTACTTGATGGCATCTGAAGAGCTGCAGGTCTGGTGATGACTTACATCTGCATTCACAATGACCATGTAGCAGCCAAAAATATTCAGATTGAAATAATGAATTCACTTGGACAAGAGAATAAAAACAGACCTTCTAGTCATTTTTCCAAAACATGTCCCTCCAGTTGCTTAAAGCTTTCTTGAATAAATGGCTTTTGCAGCATTCCTGGAAGATGCTTTCATACATCATGCAGGCTGATGCTAAAAGAATATAACCATCTCCATTGTTAGTTATGTGTTTAATAAGAGAGATAGTACATAAGGCTGTGAGTATGAAGCTGGACACTAGGAATTATTTCATTTCTGTACAAATTAGGCAATGACTCTGCTAGTGATGACGTCCACAAAAACGGGGCACAGACACTTCCCTCCCCACTCCACTACTGAAGCCTCCCCAGTGCCTCGTGGCTGAGTAACGGTGATGGGGAGGTGCAACCACAGCCAGACTTGCTCCCCTTGGACAATGTTTTTTGAGGGAAACACATCTTCTGCACATCTCCTCTATGAGATAGGGCATAGTCCCTGTGGGATGACAGCATCTGGGTTTGGGACATGGCCACAAAAATATTTTCAAAGCAGAAGGAAAAGGAGCCTTTGCCTCCACGTGCCAAATCCACATTGCACTGGTGGTGTGCAGCTCTGTGAGAGCTTTGCTGCTTCCTAGCCCTTTACAGGTCACATAAAGGACAAGAGTGATGCGGCCCTTATTCTCTGTAGAGCAAATTTGGGATAAAAAATTAACATAATTATTTTATTTAGCCTTGATTTTCTTCTTGTCTTTTATTGTGTTATGTTTTAACTGAGATTTCTTTATTTCCTGCTAGGATTCTGCCAGAATCCTGTCATTTCATACAGAGGTTGAACTGCATATTACAAAAGGAAACAAATCTTTCCCTTGATTGCCTGATATATATATACTTTTTAATCTAGATTGACAAATGCATTCTATCAATCAACAGCAATTTTTTCCTTCAGAGTTGTGTTTTATTTTCCATTGTTTGGTGTCCCTCAACTAGAATCTGGAAAAGAAAAAATACTTATCATCTTTCCCTGCTTACCCTTTAATTAATAATTTTTATTGTAGTCATTTCCAGGCCCAAACATCTTCTAGTCACTGTCTCAGGTATTGTACAAACGTAGAACAAAAGGACAAACCCTGCCACCAGCAAGCAGCTCCTGAGGCTGTTTAATGATCCCCAGCACCATGAGGACTGTGGCCAGTGGCTCCACATAACAAACTAATGGGATTATGGTGTCCCTGGCTCCCTGTCTACCTGGATAAAAAACATACACTAACTGTCTCTGCGAGTACTTTGGACAAAATACCCAGTGCCACAAGGGCATGAAACACAAGGGCAGATGCAAATAAGTTTTGTTTAAGCCAGTGTCTGAACTCGGCAGCAGCAGTGTTTTATCTGTATCATACCTTCTTTTGTTCAAAATGTCACTGCCCCTGTGCTTATTGCTGTTTTCTATTATTTCTGTTATTCTTGTTTTTACAGACGTTTGCAGGCTGGTTGTCCCTCAGGGTTAGTAATTCTTTGCACAATGGCAATGGAAGAACAAAGTGAGGCTGTAGAAAAACAGTTTACAGCGATAAACACCACACAGCCAGGTCCCTTCTTCACCCCCAATGGAAAATTGCTCACGAAAAGTAATGGGCTTTTTTTGTACCTTGCAGGTGCTGTGGTGATTGCCTTTGTGGTCTGTTGGCTCCCTTATCACATACGGCGTCTCATGTTTTGCTATGTCCCCTCCAGTCACTGGACAGAGTGAGTGATGACCCAGGGGACAAGCTCCCCCCATGCCAGGATGGGGTGGGGGCTCAGGCTGGAGCTGGGGCACTGGTGGACTTGGGGCTGGAGGTGGGGATCTGGGAGCAAAGGTGTTCTCCATGCAAAGGGGTTAAAGCCTCAGCCTCCTAATTGTTGTTTTGCTTTTTCTTTTGGATTTCTTACTGTGATTACCAGCCAAATTAAGAGTCCTAGTCTTATCATCAAAATCTCCCAGGTGTGGGTGAAGGAAGCGTTAGCTTGAACCAAAACGCATCAGCACACCCTTCCTTCTCTATGGCTGCGACCACAGACTTGGCCCCGTTAACAGCAGCAATGGATGTTCACCTTTGATGGTCCTTGATGCAATGACATTTGGACAGGGGGGTTTTATACATCTGAAGTGGATTGCTGTCTCCGTGACAGATATCGATCACTGGCGCTAAGATGGAGCAGCTCCTCTCAACACGCAATTTAGCTCCACACCACGTTTGCTTAGTGACAGGAGAGATTACACGGGTGGGGAAATAACTGCGCTGCTTACTGTGTCTGGGGCAGGTTATTTACTGGGTTTTACAGCGAGTAGATCAAAATTAAATACTAGCAGTTGCCACTGATTAGAAAATGTCCAAATTCTCAGAGAATTTAGGGATAATTGCACACCTACGCTGAATGCACGTGCGCTGTTCCCAGATGTGCAAGGGCACACAAGCATTTTTACGCAGCCTTTCTACCACATCAGACCAGGTTCCTCGGCAAAGCAGCCACGGAACTGATTATTCATTTTAAATATGCAATTAAGCATTAATGCTGTCTGGGGATATACATCCAGGAAGCCTGAGATGCCATGAGATGCGCTCAGTGAAAGATGTGTCCTTTCTCCCATGGTATTACGTCGTCCTTCTCTCTGGGACCAGGACCATTTCCTGCAATGAACAGGAAAAGAAATAAAAATCTACATTACCAAAAAGCAGAGCAACTATGAGACATTAACATTTCATAGACTCCAAGCACAAAAAAATAGTAATTTACAATATAGCAGTCTACTGAATGGAATTGTACATCCATCTGTAAGAAAACCCAAAACCTATCTTCAATCACGAAAACAGAGCTCTAGGCACACACTGGGAGAAACTGGTGTTTCTTCTTTGCTTTCCTATATGAAAAGCACTTAAAGCAGCAATCAATTATGTAATGACTGCATTTGCTTTGAGCAAGAAGGGTAGAGAAGTCTGTCTGCAGTTAGTGTGAATTTATGCACTGTGGTTGCATTCACTTTTTTTTCTTCTTCTTCTTTTAAAAGCTATGAGCAAATTTAGGAAAACATTGAATTTACAGGCGTATTATGAGTGGTGAACTATCAGTATGGTAGCTAATCAAGAGCTTGCAGCAGCTTGATGAGTTCATTTATAAATGCAAGTGCCTGCCCCTGCAGAAGAAAACTTTTCACTATATTAATTCTTCACAACTACAGAGAGAAACTCTACTTTTAAGACCTGGATGGGCCATGCAGTACTTGGCAGTGCTGAGGGGGTGTGGAGGCATTGGTGATGTATTCCAGCACACATCTATTTATCTTTTGTTAGACAGTGCTCAGACTAACAAAAAGGTCTGCAATTTCCACTGAGATAAATGATCCTGGGTAATATCTTCCTGAAAATGAGACTCACATTGTTTATAAACACTTTACCAGCTCAGAGCTGTTGGTCTCAGTTGTCTTAAGGAAAGATTTATTTTATATAAAAATACATTTTAAAAATCCAACAACAACACCCCCCCCCAAAAAAAAAAAAATCCCAAAACAAAACAGAAAAACCACACACACACACACCCTAAAACCTCCCAAAACCTAAGCATTTCCAAGCAATTCTAGTTGAAAATATTATATTGTGATGGTCAGGATATGTTTCAAACACATGCTATCATCAACTTGCTCCCAGAATGCAGAATGGTATCCCAGATTACAGCCAAATCCCAACCCTGGGACCCATTGAATGAGCTGATGCAGGTCTCACTGCTGGGGGGAGGAGGGAGCTGCATCTGTTACTGGATCTTGGCTCTTTTGCAGGCTCTGTAGACCAGAACTGCAGCCAGAACAGTCAAGCTAATGTATATGCATGCCATAGAAACAAATTTCCATCTGGCTTCTCAGTTTCAAGGATGTCTATTTTCAAAGACAAAATGATTGCACAAGGTAAATATCACATCCGGAGCCAGGGCATAAGTAAGTTTCTAACTGCTAGTGACTGGGTTAAGACCTTTGTAGATGCATTTGACGTACACTTGGCCAGTCTCAGTTGAAAACATAGATGTTTTCCTGGTAGCTCACGTACCGTTGGTAAGCTCATGTCCCTAACTGAGAAAGGTTAGCTGAAAAAACAGCTCATGTTTTTCTCATTCTTGTGACTTTGAATTATTTCAGTTCTCCACTCTCTACTTAGATTTTTATCTTTCATCTGTTCTTGCAGTTTCCTTTTCAACTTCTACCACTACTTCTACATGCTGACAAATGTCCTCTTCTACGTCAGTTCAGCAATCAACCCCATCCTCTACAACCTGGTGTCTGCAAACTTCCGACAGATCTTCCTCTCTACACTCACACTCCTGTGCCTGCCTTGGAGGAAGAAGAAGAAACGACTGGCCTTCACCAGGAAATCCAATAGCATCTCCAGCAACCACACATTTTCCAGTCAAGTCACAAGGGAAACTACATACTGAAGCCAAAGGAGGAAGGGAAATGAGTTTCATCATGGAGTCAAAACTTGAGAGGCCTCTGTGACTTTCATGTATGGTCTCCGAATTCATGTAACAGAAATGTGTTTAGCAAAGTCATTTTTGTTGGAAAAATAGGCTTTGTTCTGCCAGTAACTTTGAGGTTATTTTAAAGCATTGGCCTTGCCTCTTGTGAGTAATGTCTACACGTTTTGTAACTTCAGTCTGGCATAAATCCAGATGTGGTGTTAACTGAGAAGCCAAAACATGTTAAACTTACACAAAATCATACTGCATTTCATCCTTTTCTCAGTGCAGAGATGCCATATTCATATCCAAGGGTTTGAGATTATGTCTCTTGGTGGCACCGAGCAGAGAGTCTGATGAGGAGAAAGCAGTTTTGAACAGAAAGGGCTGGTTTTGGAGAATGGACATGCTCATCTATGGGATGTTCAATGAATGGAGAGTGAAAACTCAGGGAGCCAGGTGGTTATTTTAGAAATGTATCTAAATTATTAATATGACATAGGTGCTCAAGCGAGCTGCTCTGGCTCCTTGGAATTAAATAACAACTGATGATGCCTTACCTAGATTGGGGTTGCTGTGGCCTGGGGGAATGGGTTCATCTTTCACTTTAGGGCAGATATAATGCCTGGCACAGGGAACCCCAGCTCTCGCTGGTATTGATACTGCAACACCAATAAATAACAAAGTCTCTGGAAAAGTCAAGAATGCAGAAACTGTGCCCAGCTGGAGAGCTGAAAATGAACAGAAATGGAAAATCTTACTTTTGCCATACAGCCAAATCCTATTTTTACCAGGGAGAACAGTTAGCTGACCTGCATTAAGAGGTGAGAAAACTCCAGGTTCATGAGGGCTCCAGGCTGCTGAAATAAGATTAACCTGCTCCAATTCTGTGGGACCTTCAGATTTTTACCATTCTTGTTCAAGTTTTACTTGTTTCCTCACCATTTTCACATGGTGAAAGGTTGTAGTATTTGTAGGCAGAGAGGCCTCTTGTTCTATCTTTTGTTTTATTTCTTTTTGCTACCAGACCTGCTGACACACTGGTTTGCACACAGAAAATGTCAGATAGTGCAAATGAAGAACACAAGAAGGTCTAAACTGGGGAGTCTTAACTCTAAAATCACTTTCTTTTAACAAACCAGGGGAAAAGAAACAGGACCTGAAAATTCTCTTTGAAATTTCTCAGCTGGTCTGGATAGGTAGCATGAGCTTTGCTCCTATATGGTTCCACCTCTAACAGCCCACTATGTGATAAGCAAATTGCTCCAGAGCTTTTAGCACCAGAAATCACAGGCTTCTGGGACAAGCTAAAGAACTTTCTCTACTGTCACATCATCAGAGGGTGACCTGCATGAACCTGGAACCAGCGAATCACCCTGTGCAGCCTCTGCTGTGATTTTGCTGGTGGTGACCGTGTGTCCCACTTTGTTAGGAGAGCAAGGCTTGCCTCTTTATGATGACAAATTAGAAGACTCACTTGGTTCAATTCTGCTTTCTGGGCTTTGCCCATCCTATGTCACTCTTCAACTAATGAACACCCTTGGTATGTAACAGAAGTCTCAATGCTGGAGATGTGGATCTGGCCCCAGTGAACCATCACACAATGATGGAGACCAGTTACTGATCCACTGGGTACCGGTGAGTTCTCCTGCTACAGATGTGGATCACAGAATCACAGAATATCTCAAATTGGAAGGGATTCATAAGGATCATCAAGTCCAACTCCCCGGACTTGTGGTTCAGTTCCTGTTGGGCTCAGGACATAGAGAAAACACCTGTGGGGCATTGCTGTGAGTCATTAGTGACAGCTATCTACTTCTGAGGCATTTATAACCTGGCAGTTGTAGAGAGCTACCTACCACGGTAGACCTGGCTACCATCAGCCATGACCTCCAACCACACCTACCATGGATGGGAGATTATTTTAATGCCTAGTATAGAACCACTCTAAAAGAAAGGGCTCAAAATAGAAATCAGTGGGGCTTTAGTTTCTTCTGATTCAGCCAAACTCCAGGCTCTGTCCTGTCATGCCTTGTTATAATTTCTTGCCCTGGTTCTACCAAACAAAGGGCAGAGATTGTATTTGACAAACCACTTTTCGTCGCTCGTGCACAGTTGACTCCTCTTTGGCCAGAAAACCAGGTAAAACAAAAAAGAAAACAAACCAACAAAAAACTTAAACAGGAAACTGGTCTTTGGAAGGAAATCTGTGAGAAACCAGCAGATGTTGTCTCTGTGTGTGTGTTAGAAATGGCTTGGGCAGGTTGGAAGAAGCTCTAGAGGACCTGCACATAACGTCTTTTGGGAAAGTCCAAGTGCAATGAGCAGAGGAAAAGGAGCCTTAGTGTTACACACTTAACATTGGCCTTCCAGGCAAGACACTTTAAATATTTCTGGAGAGGACCCAAATTTTTTAACTTCACCTCTAAATAAAGTCAACAGCTGGGAGGTGGTTTCTGAAACCTCCCACAGAAGCTGTAACTGTGTGTTGCTTTGACTTTAATTAGGATTTAACATCCTGCCTGTCTCAGTTGCTTTTGAAATGTTAAACATTATTAACACACTTGTTCAACACCAACCTGCTGAAATGTGCTCGATTAGCTTAGAAAACACTGTACAAAAATTGTTGTTTCACATCAAATGCTTGGCTTAGATTCTCGTTACTGAGATACACTGGCAGCTTACAGAATATTTGATTGCTCAGAGAAAGTGGTAGGTTCATTTTTGGTTTGAGATGAAAATGAGAACAAACTGGAGTAAAAATGAACTTACCATAAACTCTTTCCTCAGAGTTTTGTTGGGCTACTCAAATCCTGAAGAGCTGCCTATTTGGAGGGATTTATTCAAGTGGTTTGCTGGCTTCTACAGCTCTGTTCCTGCAGTTTGACATGGGAGCAGACCTGAGTCTATGGCCTTAATCTGAGATTGCAGCTCAAAGCTACCTCTTCCACTGGCCAAATCTGACTACCTTGAGCTGAGAAGTGTAAGTGACAGCTGATTTCATCCTCTCCTCCCTCCTCACCTAGTTTTGCTCTATTCAATCTAGACTTTTAGTTCCCTTCAGCTCAAAGAAGTAAGGATCACTGCAAGACCCCACGGTTTTGTAAAGGAAACCATGATACCATAGAGAAGAAAAAGGTACAAATTGCCCTATATATACCAGAGAAATTATTCTTTCCATGCTTTTTAACAATGGTTGAACTAATCACTCAAGTTTTAAATTAATTTATAAGTGGCTTTTGGCATTAGACAAAACACATACTCCCAGCTTTTGTATTCCAGTCTTGTCTGAACACTTTGCTGGGGCAGGGGGGTGAGCGTTGGTGCGGCATGATGTTAATCTATGCAAATTTCCTATAAGTGTTTTGAACTGTTTGTTTCCACTGGAAAAAAAATAAAAAATCTGTTCAACCCACAGATGTGAAGTGCTGCCAGATGGATTCAGAGAAATTCCCATCTGAAGAGAGTCTATCAAGTGACCTCTTCAAATATTATTTTGAAGGGTTTTTTTTCTCTTCACAGTGTTCTTGTCAGGGCCATCCATATGGCAGTGTGTGAAATCACATTTCCAAAGTCCTGATGCTAGTTGGAAATTTCCTCTAGACAGGACTTTCTCACCAAAGGCCCAGTACACATCAGCCTTTGAAAGCTCTGCTGAGCTTGTCTTTTTCATACAGCACATGAGACCTCGCTTCAGCGACTGTGCCCATAAAGGGGAAAACCAGATGGAAAAGATGGTGAGGAGGGTTAGCAGGACACATGCTGTAGACATGATGATAGCAGGACTTTTGCATTTATAGCATCAAACGTTGAGTGACATGCAGACCCACGGTGTGTGGCTGCAGACTGCTTGTGGGTTTGAACCCATCGCTGCCCTTGGGAGGGACAGACATCCACACGGCACAAGAGCGCTGGAGCTTTCCTGCACAACGCCTTTTGAGTGTTAGTCTGATATCTTCCTGGTTGTGTTGTTTGGTAGCTGTTTCAACAAAGCTGTATCTGCTAGAGCTCTGTCTGGTTCATAACATTACAGCTCAACAAGTTCTTCTGTTCTCAGTCTGGATTCGTTTAGTCAGAAAACAGAAATTGCTAATCCAAATGCTGTGTCCTGGCTTTGTGATCAAGAGTCTTTTCCCAGCCGTGCCACCTGATAGTCCTGCACATATTGTATTTATGGCAAATATTTTTTAAAGTGCACATTTTTTTTTTCTGAAATACAAACTGTTGATGTGCTTTATTTTCTGTGGCCTGTTGCTCAATGGGAAAAAAAAAAAAAATGAATGTTAAAAGTGTGTCAGGGTCTCCTTTGTATTTTGTGACAAAGGGAAGGAAGAGGGTGTGAAATCCTTTTGTGTAGCAATGGGAACCACTCTTTCAATGTAACTTGCTATTATTGATCCTGTATTTACTGATCAAATTGTAATGAAGTGGTTACTTCCTGATATAGCCTTTGTACTGTATGGTATTTTATTTTATTTTGTTGTTTATTGATCCGAAGAAATAAATATCCAAATTTAAGGTTTGGACTGGTTATGCTTGAGATGACAGCTAGGACTTTATCATACAGCCTGCTGACCAGGACAGGCTGTGGTATAAACTGATGCAATCCTATCAACCTGGAACTGATCTTTGCATATCCACTGCAGACGGGTCCCCGAGTGCTTCTCTCCCAAAGCCTGCGAGCACCAGCTAGTCAACACAAAGGCAGAGTTCAAATGCCAGGTGCCTCTTGTGTCTGCAAGTTGGCCAACACATGGAGGGAAAGTCTGGCTAGGTCTGTGGGACATCCCCATCAGTGAAGTTTGCCCTGAGAAATCCCTCTTGAGACCAGGTAAAACCAAAGAGGGTCCGTGCCTTTGGTTGAACCCTTGGGCTTTGAGCGTGTGGCAAGCATGAGCCTGAAGTATGGAAGTGGACATCTCCTGGGCTTCAAGAAAAACCTGTGCTGCACAGCGGGCAGCTGCTGTGTTGGGATCCAGGTGGCACCATGGGAATCTGGCTGTTTTCTGATCTCCTGTCCTGCTTGGCTTGCCTGCTTGCTTTCCCCTGTTGTAGATAAAACGTTAAAGATGTTGTAACTTGGCCATTATTTCTGCAGAAGCTTTGCACAGAAAA